AATTTGGCAACTGCCATATTCCTCAAAACATGGATTTTCAAATTTAAAAACAATATACTACAAAATCCTTCAATTTTCTACAAAAAAAAAAAAAACACAGACGTTAAAGCACCATTTAAGACCGATCTTCCTTTTACGCTGATTCAAATTGTCGATAATGTGACATTGTATTGATACATGATAGTGTAACATCTTCATTAATACTTTAATCACTAACAAAAAGTTGAGAAATTAAATTCACTGATTCATACATAATCTAAATAGTATGTATTACATTATGTAACATTGTTGTTAGATTTGAGAACAAACAGATTTGAGAACAAACAGAGTGACTTAACATTAAAAAATAATATAAAAAAATAAATTTTAAAATTTGGGCCAAGCCGTTAAAGTATATTCCATGTGGTAATGTTCAATCCCTTAAAATATGAAATCATTAATACAATTAATCAAATCCCATAAAAAATGAGTCTCGCCAAACTAACTGACCTTCAAATAAGAAAAATTGTATTTTAGTGAAAAATATATTTAAAAATTTTGCCAATGAGTATCTAACTATAATGCATTTCAAGTCAAAAGTATTTATTTATAAAAATTTTTAGTCAAGATATTTTCTCACAAATAAATAATTTAAAAGGTACATGCTTACAATTTTTTGTTAGTAAAACTAAACTCAACTGAATGTATAAAGTGGGCTCAACCCGACACGACCCATCACGCCTGAATGACGCTTGTACTGAGGAGATGTAGGAAACCCTCTCTCTTATTTCGATGCTTGGATTTTCTTCACACACATATTTAGTGTTACTAATACTTTTTTCTAGGTGAGTTCGTGTGTAATTTCACTAGTCTTAGGTTAAGTAATTCTTACTAATGTTTTCCTGTGTGAGTCTGCAAGTAATCTCACTAGTACTCTTAGGTTAAGTGGGTATAGTTTTCTAGACACAAACATTTAACAATTTGGACAACTGTGAACAAGGTTTTTTATTTGTATTTTAGTTTGGACAACTATGAACAAGGCTGTTCTGAAATTAGGAAAATAACCTAAATTACTACAGAATACATTAGATAGGTGTATTGATACAGACCCGAACGTAACATGAATTATGTATTTATTAGGGGTAACCTGTGCTGAAAGCATAGTACAATGTGAATAATTTTAAGAGAGATATTGGTGACCCTTGGATGAATCTATTTGAAACCGTTAAATGAACTTATTAAAACCTATCTTGTTTTATATTATAGAATTATAGATGTGCCCCTTTCCACTCCTCTCTTTGATTTCCACCGAGTCAATCAAATCTACCTCTTTTTGTTTTATATAACTCTTGTACTCTTATATAATATTTGGCCTCCCTCTGTTTCTTGAGTTTACTAATCTTTCTAACATTCCATATAAGGAATTTATTAAAAATTCTTTTTGTACATGTTCCAATAATTTTTGGCCAAGTTCAATGGACTACTTGTCTACAGCCCAGCCCAAACAGTCCACAAAAACACTAAATCCAGTACAGTGGGCAAGATGTTTTTATAATTGGCAAAATATTGACAAAGTCAAACTTGTTTAGTATTGTATAATGGGGCAGTATGATATTTTTATTTTTCAATTTCAGTAATGCTCTTGGTTTTTATTTATCTGGTTTAAGTCCCTTGGCCCATATGAAAAAGAAATAGGGGTTTTTGAAAGTCGGTACACCTAATTAGACTTATTTGACACAAAATACATATTAAAAAATATTTTTAAAAAAGGTACACTAGTTAGATACAAAAACATAAATGTCCATTTTAGGAAAAGTGGTGCATTAAATATCTCCTAGATATGAGAGAACTTTAATATTTAACGCACATTGATTCATGTGTATTTGTTAATATATATATATACACACAAACAAGTATATATAAATACGTATATATATTTTATATTTATACTTGTGTGTATATATATACANATCTCACTAGTACTCTTAGGTTAAGTGGGTATAGTTTTCTAGACACAAACATTTAACAATTTGGACAACTGTGAACAAGGTTTTTTATTTGTATTTTAGTTTGGACAACTATGAACAAGGCTGTTCTGAAATTAGGAAAATAACCTAAATTACTACAGAATACATTAGATAGGTGTATTGATACAGACCCGAACGTAACATGAATTATGTATTTATTAGGGGTAACCTGTGCTGAAAGCATAGTACAATGTGAATAATTTTAAGAGAGATATTGGTGACCCTTGGATGAATCTATTTGAAACCGTTAAATGAACTTATTAAAACCTATCTTGTTTTATATTATAGAATTATAGATGTGCCCCTTTCCACTCCTCTCTTTGATTTCCACCGAGTCAATCAAATCTACCTCTTTTTGTTTTATATAACTCTTGTACTCTTATATAATATTTGGCCTCCCTCTGTTTCTTGAGTTTACTAATCTTTCTAACATTCCATATAAGGAATTTATTAAAAATTCTTTTTGTACATGTTCCAATAATTTTTGGCCAAGTTCAATGGACTACTTGTCTACAGCCCAGCCCAAACAGTCCACAAAAACACTAAATCCAGTACAGTGGGCAAGATGTTTTTATAATTGGCAAAATATTGACAAAGTCAAACTTGTTTAGTATTGTATAATGGGGCAGTATGATATTTTTATTTTTCAATTTCAGTAATGCTCTTGGTTTTTATTTATCTGGTTTAAGTCCCTTGGCCCATATGAAAAAGAAATAGGGGTTTTTGAAAGTCGGTACACCTAATTAGACTTATTTGACACAAAATACATATTAAAAAATATTTTTAAAAAAGGTACACTAGTTAGATACAAAAACATAAATGTCCATTTTAGGAAAAGTGGTGCATTAAATATCTCCTAGATATGAGAGAACTTTAATATTTAACGCACATTGATTCATGTGTATTTGTTAATATATATATATACACACAAACAAGTATATATAAATACGTATATATATTTTATATTTATACTTGTGTGTATATATATACATATATATATATAAAAGTACATATACAAGTATGTATATACGTGTAAAGTGTAACATTGAAAGTGAAAAGTGTAAAATATTACCTTATGTCTCACCTTACTTAATGAAAAGTGTAAAATGTTACATGTTAATATTGAAAGTGTAACACTTTTACACTTTCTCAATTAATTAGTATTTTTAGTGTAAGATGAGACATGTATATTCTGTTTGTGTAACACTTTAGGTAATGCCTCCTTTTACCTTGTGTAAATAGCTTGTTACATTATTATTGCTACACTTTTATTGTTACTTTCAATGTTACCCTATAACACTTTACACTTTCCATTAAGAATTGTGAGACATAAAAGAATACTTTACATTTTACACTTTCAATGTTATATATATATATACACATGAATCAATGTGCGTTAAATAATAAAATTCTTCCATAAAACTATGAGATATTTAATGCACCACTTTTCGAAGAACATACACATGAATCAATGGAGGACAAAAATGTCATAAAAAAATTAGGCAAATTCAAATTGCGTAGTTAGATATAAATAAATATCAAAATTAAGGACTTAATAACCCTACAGTTTTTAGTGTGTACTTTTTATCAAATAAGTTTAATTTAGTGTACCCTTTACAATTTAACCAAAAAAATATACGTCATACCTTTCGGTGTCTGATGATCCCGGGCTTGACCGTGGGCCATGGTATTTGCCGGGACATTGGGCTCCCTCCTGCTACGACTCGTTGACCTTTTGGTGGAATTAATGCAAGTCAAGGCTTTGGGGGCTCCGTTTCATATGGGTCACAGTCATCTACTTTAATTTCTATGTTAACATTTAGAAGATATGTTTGTTTTTTTTAATGTACAACGATGGATCTAACCCATATCTAAGGTGAAGACATGATTATAAATCAGAATATTGGTTTGGATTCTTGGATTATAAAATCTTACGATCCGATAAAAGCAAATCGATCCAATTTTCTTTTAGAATTCCAAATTTGTAGGATCTTAATGGATCATGATCTAGATTTTATAGGATTTTAGAATCCTGATCCAAGTTGTTAAGTTTGTTTGTAAGACATTTTTAGTTATTGAGCAATACAACCCATATTTTTCGTTTTCATAGTCAATGACTCAATCCAAATGTTAATGTCTTCTATCATTGCGAGTTGATTGCAGAATTTCAATATACGAAAAAAGTTAACGAAAATTTATTTTGTTTACAAAAAAGTCTCGAGACGAACCTTCTTGAATGATTCATACAAATGTGATTACATTGAATAATTATTTGGTAAAATTGATATAAAAAAAATCATGTTATTTGTTAATATTGAGCTTAATCATGTTATTCAGATTGAATTAAATTTTCATATCGAACTTTAATTTTCAATTAACATACTATATTTCTGAATTTGTCCTAGATCCACATATCAAAATATCAAATTCAATTCATGACAATGACCATCATCCTTATTATCACTATAATCTGATTTCATAACATCATAAGCACTTCATTCATTGAAACACACACGGAACGAGTGTCTCATCATTAATTAGCAACATTCTAGCCTGAGTGGGCAAAGAGAAAGGATCAGTAATCTCACTTGGAACCCTATCCGAAACTCCTTTGTTAGCCATTCAATCTGCTACTGAGTTTGCTTCGCGTAGAACATGTACAATCTCACAATTAAATCTTCTAAAAAAAACTAGGATTTGATCCACTAGTTTCCAATACTTCCAAGCAGCTTGGATCTTTCCCATAATTGTGTCAACTAATATATGAGAAATAGATTCAATGACCAGTTTTTAATCCTCCAATCCATATCTGTCAAAGAGTTTTAAACCATCCAATAATGCTTTTGAATTCGTCTTCCATATTTGTACATTGACCATAAAAATAGGATGCTACAAATATCATTTGACCCCAGTGATTACGCAAAACAACTCTACGACCAGAAAGACCGGGGTTTCCCTTTGATGTTCCATCCACATTAAGCTTTACTATATCTTATGGAGGAAAATTCCACTTCACCCAAACAACTCTGGTCTTCACCATTGAAGATACTTGAATATTCAGAAAAGAGAACAACTATCTACCCTGAAGAGAATCAATCACTCCAGGTTCAATATTCTCTTCACTAATGAAGAATAATGAAGCTTTGAGCCTTCAAATATACACCTATATCTCTCCATCCAAATCTGCCAAAATAAAATCAAAGGAGTACCTTTAATTAATTCTTGACTAAACGAAAGGTTCTTAAAGATTCTCCACATTTGTAAAAACCTTGTCGATGGGTCTTCATTTGCAATCAGCGGGAACCCCACTAGAGATGATATTTTCCTCTAGACTCCTTGTGCAGACTCACAATCAATACAAAGATGAGAAGGAAATTCTATATCTATACAACAGAGAAGACATTTTCTAACCATTGATATTCCCAAACTTTGAATTCTATAATCCATTGGCAAAGCATTTTTCATGATCTTCCATCCCACTAACTGAGCACTAGGAGAAATTTGTTGCTTCCAAATTAGTTTTGCAGTCTCATTTGTTTTGACTTTGTTCTCTCACCAAAACCCAAGCTGATTTGATAGAAAATTTTCCTGAACTTATTAATTTCCATACTAATTTATCTTGTTTGAATCCACTAAGAACCTTGCAAGGACGGATTCATTAGTGAGCTAAGGTGGGCTGAAGCTCAGAGTAAAATAAAAATAAAAATTTACCACCAAGTACCAACCCACACACCGCCCCCCAAAAAAAAAACATTCCCATCCAACCCAACCCAACCCAGCCCACCTGCAAAGCTTCCCCAAAACCAGTCGGTCTCTCTCAGTCTTTTCTCTCAGTCACTTTCCCCAAAATCAGTTGGTCTCTCTCAGTTTCTTCTCTCTCTCAGACGGTCTCTCTCAGTCTCTTCTCTTAGTCACTTCCCCCAAAATCATGCCGAATACATGCTGACAATATCTTCTCTCTGAGACGGCTAGTCACTTCCCCCAAAATTATGCCAGTAGCTTCTTTCTCAGGTTGCCACTTCATTGCAAAAACCCTCCCCCATCCCTTTTCTGCGCAAACACCATCCTGTCTCTCTCTCGAGCACGGCCAACCCCAACAGGTACGATTCATCACCTCCTCTTCTCCCATCTTTTTTTAGTTTTGCTCTTCGTTTTTGTATGTCTATCTCGCTGCCTCTATTTGTTTGGTTTTGCTCTTCGTTCAAATGCCCACAAGCTGCTCGATCAAATGCCCCTGAATCACACACACATCTGTTTTTTAGGCAGCTGCTCGAATCAAATGCCCAGGTTCATACTGTTGCCCAGGTTCGAATCAAAACCCTTTTCTCCCATTATCACTTTTGCCGAGAGGACCTAATAAGGTATGAATCATTTTCTCCCATTATCTTATATTTGTCTGTGTATGCGTGTCTTTTGTTTATATACTGCCCATTTAAATGTTATGGACTTATGATCTGTCTTTTATTTGATATAGACATATTCTTTTTGAAGAAATCTATTCAATGGATTCAATATCATATCCTAAGGGTGTTCTTGTGTCATTTTGATCCATATCAATAAAAAGTTGTGTTATAGTAAAACAATTCAAACAGTAATGCTTGAGCAAGATGTGAAAAAAAAAATACTCATTATCTTCTTACCATACAAACTTAGGGTTATTGGTTTTGTTAATGGATTGTACCATTTTCAAGTTCGTTTTGTGTCTTGTTCTTGTTTGTATTGTATTTTTGTAAACGGGAAAAATTGGCACTCTTACCATATTATCCCCAATGAGGTCAAATTATATTTAAAGAAAATAATCAATGAGGTAAAAAATATGGGAAATAACACTAAAAAATTGGGATTGAACTCAAGTTTTGTATATCTATCTTACTCAATCTCATTGAATTTTAATTTGGTTCGTTTTAGTTGCAATAACTTTCAATATAGTAAGGAAAGTCAAGAAAATCATTTTGGAAAAAGTTTCTTTTGATTCTGATTACATGATAAAAGAAAGAAAAAAAGTTTATGCTTGGTTCTTGTGGTTTCTGTGCAGTAACTGAGGTTGCATGGTATTGACTTACAGTTTAAGCAAGCTGAAGAAATAGCATTGAAGCTTGATTTGGATGGGATTGTTGTTATTGGTGGTGATGACTCAAACACTAATGCTTGCCTTCTTGCAGAAAATTTCAGGTATATATGACATGTTACTCTAAGAAATAATTTGAAGGTCCTCCCGAGAAAATTTTGCTCATCTTTAAAATTACTGAAGGGTAAAAATGTGAAAGCCCGGGTTCTTAGATGTCCAAAGACCATTGATGGTGACTTGAAATGCAAAGAAGTTCCTACAAGCTTCGGATTTGATACTGCATGTAAGGTAATTACTATTTTTGCTTTATTTTTTATTTTTCGCCTTTGGCTTGCGTTTCCATGCATTAATATTGTGGTTTGCTTGATTGGTTTTTATAATGAAATTTTTCCCCAATATTAAATGATATGCTTTAAATTTTGCTTGTTCTATGCCGAAACCATGAACATTCTGATCAAACAAGATCTTTTCCCACCCTTCCCCTGGCAGCATAGTGTCCTGGAAATTGAACCAAGGAGGAAACTTAAGACTCATAATTGTGCAGTTATGAAATTAGTAAATTTGAAAGGAGATGAATGTGCAATTTGGTTATGATATGTTCCTAGGTGATTTTTGGGGCAGAGGAACATAAAATTAGATTTGGTAATGAAATGTGTGAGGCCTAGGAATATCTACATGTTTGTATATGTTATAATGTTTAGTGTAGTGTTGGGTCCTTCAATCTTGTTGATTTGTTTATCTAATTTTCAGCCCTTCTCTACTTTATTAGGATGAAAAATCAAGAACGAAAAAGAGCAAAAATAATTTTTTCGTTCTTCAAAAAGAAAAATGGAGAAGAAACATCAAATTCTACTCTTGAATCTCTGAGTCTAGTAGAAACATCAACAAGTGTTGATGTTCCTATGATTCCTGCGGCTTTGAACCTCAAGGTCCTCAATGTCAAATTAAAGTTTCAAGGATTCCTTTTGATGAGAATGAACTTGAACGAGATTCCGCATTGTGTATTCCGATATGGAAACATACTGCTTATAATCAAGAAGAAGTTAGACGTGCTTATATAAAGTGGGGACCAAATCAACCTATCTTGGCTGAGTATCCGAGGACTAAAACTGGAGTTCAAAATCAAAGATTTTAGGAAAGTTGGTACAAAAAAAATCCATGGCCAGAGTATTCTATTTCAAAAGATGCGGCATTTTGCTTTCCATGCTTTGTTTTTTAAGGTCGTGAATCTCTACATCCTGCATTTACCGTTGATGGTTTTAGTAGCTGGAAGAGAGTGAATAATGAGGCCAAATGTGTTTTCTTGTCACATATGAGAGGTTCTGCTTTCACACACAATAATGCTGTGAGAAATGTTGAGGCGTTGAAGAATATATCAGTGCACATTGATAAAATTATGAATATTCAAAGTTTAGAAGAAATAAAGAGAAATCGATTGCATCTTAAGGTTACTATTGATAATGTTCAATGACTTTCTTTACTGGGATGCGCCTTGAGAGGTCGTGATGAATCTGTAATGTCAAAGAACCGTGGTAATCTAATTGAGATGATTAGTTTGATGGCAAAGTTGAATGTTGAGATAAATGATGTTGTCTTAGAGAAAGCTCCAGGAAATGCAAAGTATACGTCTCCTATGATCCAAAAAGATATTTTGCATATTCTATCTACTAAAGTAAGAGAAAAAATCCGTGAAGAAGTTGGAAATGCCAAGTTTTGTATTTTGGTTGATGAAGCAAAGGATACATCAAATAAAGAACAGATGACAATTGTTCTGAGATTTGTTGATGTTCAGGATTTTTTTCATGAGAGATTTTTTGAGATTGTGCATGTTAAAGATACCACTTCTTTAACTCTTAAGAATAAAATATCCAAAGTTATTACTTGACACAATTTGCACATTCGAGATTTACGAGGTCAGGGATATGATGGTGCTAGTAACATGCGTGGTGCATTTAATGGATTCCCAAATATGTTCCGCAATGATTGTGAGTATGCATACCATGTTCATTGCTTTACTCATCGTTTACAACTTGCATTAGTTGCAACTGCTGAAGATGAGATTTCAATATGAAAATTCTTTTTTAAATTGACATGCATTGTCAATCTTATAAGTGCTTCTCCTAAGCGTCATATAGAATTGCGATCTACCCAAGCTATTGAGATTGAAAGGAGGATAGTTAGTGGTGAACGAGAGACTGGTAAAGGGGCTAATCAGATAGGTACTTTGCATTGAGTTGATATTACTCGTTGGAGCTCACATTTTGAATCTATTTGCGGTTTGATAGATATGTATGATGCTATCATTAGTGTGTTTGAATGTATAGTTAACGAAGGATCTTCAAATACAATTCTTGGGGAAGCTGGTGGTTCTTTAATGGTAATGAAGTCCTTCGATTTCATATTCATATTTCATCTTATGCACAAGATTATGAGATTACGGATATGTTTTGTCGGGCATTGGAGCATAAATCATCAGATATTTTGAATGCAATGAATTTAGTCTTATCGAAAAAATCATTGCTTCAAACCTAGCGAGTAGAAGGTTTTGATTATCTCCTTGACCATGTGAAATCAGTTTGCATGAATTTTGATATTGATATACCTGATATGAGTACTCAGTACAAAGGTGCAAGACATTCATGTTAACAAAATGATAACATTACAGTTGATCATCACTATCACATTGACATACTTAATGCTATGATTGATCATAAGTTAGAAGAGTTACATAGTAGATTCAATGAAATTGCTTATGCTCAGCTCTGCTTAGATCCTCGGGACAACTTTAAATCTTTTAATCCTGAACACATTTGTTTAGTTGCTGAGAAGTTTTATGCAGTTGATTTTGATAGACAAGACATGCATCATTTGAAATGTCAACTGGATCATTATCAATTTGATGTGGTTTGCCATGAGAGATTTCAAAGTATGTCTACAGTTTCATAATTATGTCGTGGTTTAGTAGAAACAAATAAGACAGAGTCCTACAATTTGATTGATAGGTTGATTCGTCTTATTTTAACTCTTCCCGTTTTTACAGCAACTTCAGAAAGAACATTTTCAGCCATGAAACATGTCAAAAGTACTCTTTGTAACAAGATGGAAGATGAGTATTTGACTGATTCGTTAGTTGTCTACATTGAAATAGAAATAACAGAAGCAATTGATACAAATTCAATAATAGATGCGTTTTGTTCTAGGAAGGATCGAAGAGTCCAATTTCATTAGTAAGTGTTTATGGGTTTACATTTTTATTATTGAATATATGTTTATGAATTCACATTTGTATTTTGTTAGTCGTATGAATGTTTAGTTTAGCCCGGGATAAACAAAAATCCTGGTTCTGCCCTTGGAACCTTGCATTACTTCTGAAATCTTTGGAGAATAAAAAGGAGTTTCAGAACAACCTTAGAATTAGAGTACCCATCCCCAACCAATTATCGTACCAAAAATCAGTCTACTCCCCTGATCCCACCAGCTTTTGAGAGTTAGAAATCACTAATTCAAACCATATTTGAAGAATCTGAAGCACATTTCGATTGATATCTTCTTCTACTTATAAGCATATGCTGATTTTTAAGAAACTTTGATGAGAACACCTTTGACCAAAGAGATGAGACATTTAGCAAGTTCCTTACTTGTTTAATTCTAAATGCCTTCTCACTCTGTAATCCCAATCCTCCTTCTTCTTTAGGAACTGAAATTTCCTTCCATGAACACCAATGTCTTTTCTTTACCTATGATTTGCTTGACTAGAAAAGGTAGCCATTGCTAAGTTTTACCTAACTATTATACCTTTGGGCAAATTAAGACAAGCCAAAAAGTGTATAGTTATGGCATTCAAAACAAATTTTACTAATACCACCCTTCTCATATTTGATAACATCTTTGAATACCAAGCTACCATTTTAGCCTTGAACTTCTATACTACCTACTTAAAGTAAATCAACTTTATTCTTCCTTTAATAATAGGACAACCTAGATAAGTAAAAAGACACTCGCTGATGAAAAATTCTGCAACAGTAAACAAAACATTTATTCTAGGGATGACAGTGGACCAAAGTGGGCGGGGAAGTATAGACTCCATCTTTGTATCCACTTAAAAAAACTCCATCCATTCCCGGTCCACTCCCATTAACGAGTATAGTTTTTATCCCCATCCCCATCCACATCCACTGGTAAATTTGTAATTCCCGCTCTTGTTCCGTCCTCGCCTTCACCCCTGCCATCACCCCTACATAATTAAATCCTTGTCCACAACATAATCCAATATAATATAATTAAAACCTTGTCTCTCATGTAAATTCAACACAATATCATACAACACAACATAATGTAACATAACATAATCCAAGATAACACAAACAACAAAGGTCCAAACTACTACTTGAATATTTATAATGGAAAATTTTTTCAGCCATGTAACTTCACGTTTGTAATTTAATAAAAAATATATTTAATGCAAGTTGCAATTTAATAAAACAAATATTTTTAATAGAAAATACAATATTTTTAATAGAAAATATTTTTAATATTACAAATATTTTTAATGCAAGTTGTAATTTAATAAAACAAATGTAATTGCATAAAAAATATTTTGTATTTGTTAATAAAACTGATTGGTTGAATTGAAAAATTACCAACTCAATCATCTCTTAACACCATCAATGGTTAAATTGAAAGCTATATCATTTTTGTTAATCAACTAAAATGATATACCTCTTCAAGCTTGTCGAAATGGATGAACCTAACAAAAAAAATAAAATAATGCATTAGTCATACTTTACCCCGCCAAAAAAAATTATGATGCACATACAAATAAGTGAAAATTGGAAAGGGGTACACCAAATTAGATTTAATTGTAAAAAGGCACACAGAAAAAATTGTTGGGTAATTAAATCCTTAATTTTAATACTTATTTGTATCTAAGTACATTATTTGAATTTTACTGATTTTTTGCGACATTTTTGTCCTCTATTGGTACATGTGTATTTTCTTTGAAAATTGGTGCATTAAACATCTTCTAGTTTTATGAGAAAACTTTAATATTCCATATTTGTATGTCCTCCCTTGATTCAAGCAAATTTTTTTTGAAAAGTGATTTTGTTTTCAAATTATATTTAATGCACCTTGATTTATGCGTTATATATATATATATATATATATATATATATATATACTTGTTGTTAAATCTCT